AAAGGCTATCACACAACTATACAGTGGAAAAGGCAGGTATCTGAACCCAAGTCTATTCCACTGCAGAGGCCATTGTTTCTACCACCCCACCTATTTTTCCTGACTAAACAGATGTATAACTATTAAGACAAGCTAACTAAACAAAAATATTATCAGAACATATGGGCATGTTTTGCTTTATAAGACATAACTAAGTCCTATTTGCTACTACTTTATGAAATCAAGGTGGTATGAAAGATTTTTACCAATATTCAAAATATGCATATCACCTTGCTTTTTTCACCTGCCTTGACTTGTTTAAAAGAATTTTAAAAGACCTTCCCAAATCAATCAGTTTCACTGAATAAAGTGCTGAAATAAAATTCAAAATCGGATGTTAATGATGGTATCAGTGGATAGCCCACTTTACTCAAAACACTTAACATACATTCTCTCCTTTAATCCTCACAAGAAGCCCATGGGGGGGGGGGGGAACTGCCATTTTTACAGAGGAAGAAAGTAAGGCTCTCAGGGGCTAATGAAAACAGCAGACCAAGAATCTGAACCCAAGTCTCTTATGCCACAGCCCATTCTTTCCATCTCATTAAGCAGCCTCACTAGTTTAAAAAGGAACCAAGATAATTTTCCCTTGACAACAAGAAAATCTGGCTGTAGAATGAAGACATCAAATTAATGTTTAAAAACAAAACAATCACAAAATTAAAACAAATGACTAGTTTTCAGAGGTTACTGGCATGCTATACCAAACATGGCTAACCCCTTCAACTTGAAATACTCCCCTACCTTCACATGGTAAATTGCCATCTGACTTAACTTGTGCTTCATTTCCTTAAAATTACATTATAAAGCCAGCTGCGGTGGCACAGCCTGTAGGGCCAGCTACTGAAGAGGCCAAGGCAGGAGAATCATTTGAACCCAGGAGCTCAAGGTCAGCCTGGGCAACACAGTGAGGCCTCAGTCCACCCCCCAAAAAAATTACATTATAATAAATGTGAATAAAGCCTAGAAGGGAAAATGGAAAAAAATAACAGTTGTTATATTAGGATGGAAGGATTTTACATAGAGATTAATTTTACATTTTAAAAATTTCCTTAAATTGTTTTAATATGTCAACACTTTTTTAAATGTCCTAAGGAATACCTCTCCTACATATTAATACTAAACAGAAGCAACAAAATGACAACTCACTTGACTGACAAGTATGATTTTTTTTCTTCTTCCTTTTTTTTTTTTCAACTGATCACGTCAAAGATTTCAGCACTAGACAAGTATGATTTTTAAAATACCAAAAGTAACTTTCCGGTTACCTCTAATAAAATTTATGAACACTTTTTAACTTGAGACTCAGGACGAGAAAAAAAATAAAAATAAAAACAAATTTTTAAAAATCTATAAATCCTGCTAAAGCAAGTGTCAACTATAAGGATAAATAATTCTTAGGTACTCAAAAGTTGCCAATGACAAAAACTAATGGAAATAAATGGATCACTCAGTATGATTTCGCAACTTTGTTAATAAGGATTTTTATCTTAGTACTGTGTTACAAGAGTTACAACTGAAATCACTCAACAATCAAAAATGAAGGTACTTAAAAAAATTTTGCCAATTGTGTAAAATAGACTTTATTCCCACCTAAAACACATTAAGACAATTATACCAAATTTTAGGTCAACATCTCAAACATTTTTTAGTAATTACTTTAAAATGGCATTAAAATGAATAAAGAAATATCAAAGTTTTCAATTACTTATTATTTGAGTTCAGACTGTAAATAGAAATATAAAATAAACAGGAAAAACCAAACACGTGTTCAACACTAAGAAGAATGGTTATTTTAACTAGACAAGTTATGACTTATATAAGAGGGAAAAATGCTTTTAAGGCCTATCTAGTAATGAATTGTTTTATATTTTTGCATAAATACTAAATGATAACCTCCCAATAAAACTGCTTAAACTCCTCAAACTTCAACATAGTAGTTTCTACTACTCCAAATTTTCTACTATTCTGCTATATGGTTAAGATCCAATTTATACCTTCCCAAACTGAAATTTACAAACCAATGATCTGCTTTAACAAAAGTACTGTCATATGACAACATCAATGAAGAAATGGGCAGTTCAAAACATATGTTCATTATCACCTCTTATTCTACAAGTCAATTTCATGGTACAGAAATAGCTACCTTTAAGAAAATAAATATTTGCATTTTCCCCAGTTCATGACATTTTGAAAATGAATCAACCAAGCTATGGGTTAAAATTATATTCCTACTAATTCCCATTCATTCAACAAATATGTATTTGTGTCATCGTAATGACCAGTCCTAGAGTTACTTAACCTATCAATTCTTATTTCTTGGAAAAGTGCAAATACAAAACTCTTAAGGAGTTTTTTTTAAAGACACGTGTTAAAATCCACTAGAGAAATTTCTACATAAACTGAAGTCAGCAAATGGTTGAAAACAGATGTCACTACGGTAACCCAAAGGAAGATGATGAAGGAACGTACTTACGTTTCAAAACAACGATCCACGTTGTCAGACATCAAAAGCAGCATGCATAGCTGTTCAAGGGCTATTAGTTGCATGTCCCTTTCATCTCCCTGTCCCATCTGTAGCCATTCCAGCAAAGTATCTGGGTCCACATCTGCCATGGTTTTTTTAAAGCCTCTTTGCTTAAATTTGAAAAGTAAAGGGGGAAAAATCCTTTCTTTAAATGTCCTGGACTGATCAGCTTGGCCTTAAATGTTTTTTCCTTTACATCTGGTAGAACCAAATTTTTGTAGCGTCTTCCTAGGAATAAAAAACACTCCTAAGTACATTTGGACCTAAGAGTGCTTAATGCAGTTTTTCTACTTTCCTTATCCCCCAGGTTTAAAGTACAGATATCATACTAATGAAAACCAGTTTTGCGCAAGAGTATATAAGCTGATTAGGTTGCTGCTTAACTAGAAACCAGAGCTGTCTGTGTCAAAGACATGTCAAGCTTCGGATCCCACTACTCCTATCACTAAAGTCTATGCCAAAAGGCAAAAAAGCACCTACTAAAGGTTCTGTTTTTTTCCAGCAAACTTCATCCTCCTCCTTCTCCACCCAAAACTGATCTTCAGATTAGGGTTAGATTCAGTATTCTGAGGAAACTCTAAACGCCTTGATCCAATAATCCCCCTCCGAATTGAGTTTCTCCTTCAAAACTACGTCCAATTTCACAAATTTTGACTTCTCAATTTACTTCTATTTAAGATGGCCAAATGCAAACGACAATTATACACAAGATCTATCTATAAATAAAGGGTTGGTAATTTTGGCAGTCTTGACAACTACTCCTTAAACTTAAAAAAAAAAAAACTCTAAAAGTAAATGCAATGGACTAGCAGGTTACGGATCCGAATATAGGACAATCTAGGGCCCTCTTTCCCCATCTTCGCAGGATGGGGCAGTTGGTTAAAAAAACAAAAACAAAACCGAGAAGCAGCCCCAACAGGCAAGTCATTACAAAAGCGCCCCGTAAGCGCCCTGACCGGAGGACAGCTTTGGGTCCCAACATAACGCAGCCGCAGGTGTGGGAAGCCGGCGGCCGGGTGCGGTGGGCACCCAACGGCGGCGACCAGCAGGGTTGCCCTCACACCCGGGGCCCAGCCGAGCCGGGCGCTGAGAGGCGCTGGGCCCTGCGCTCTAGTTTCCCAGCACCAAACCCCACTAAGTTAACTACCTGTGTCTAGGAGGAGGGGAAGTTCTGGAGAAGCAGCAGCAAGCCTTCGTGACCGAGAGGAGGCCGCCTGGCCAGGCAGGGCGCCTGGTCTCCCGGGAGCTGCGCCCGGAACTCGAAGGCCTGGCGGCGAACCCTTCTCAAGGGCAAAAGGAGCCGGCCTGGGGCTCTAGCGCTGGCAAGCCGGGCCCCGCCGCCGGCAGGGCCCCGGGAGGGGAACAAAGGGGCTAGCGGGGAAGTAGGCAGCAGCCTGGCCGACCTCACTCGGCGCCGGGGTCTCGCTTTCCGCCAATCGCCGGGAGTCCGGGATCGTGGCCCCAACGCAGGGCCCTTCCGACGGTCCGAGGCGCTCCCTCCTCCCCTTCCCGCAGGCTCTTACTCGGGCTTGTAGTCCCAAACCGCTCCAGTCCAGCTCCCACCAGGCCGCGGACAGAGCCAGGCCCGGCCGCGGCCCTCGAGTTCCCGAGAAGCCGCAGGCCGCGCAGGTCGAACCAGGCAGGCGGCACAGGAAAAGCCGCGCCTCGTCCCTCCCCTTCCTCCGCGGGGACCTGGTGACAGGGAAGCGAGAGGTTCCTCCGAGCGGCGGCAGCCAGCGCACGTCCCGTCCCCAGCACGCGGCTCCTCAGGCCCTGCCGCTCAAAGGCCCGTGCGGTGCTGCAGGCGGCGGCAGCGCGCGGGGGAGGCCCAGTCCATCGCGATCCGGGAGGGGGAAGGGAGGAGGGTCGAGCTAGAGCCTGGCAGTGAAGCTGCCGAGGGCAGCAGAGCCCGGTGGAGGCGGAGCAAATCCGCTCCCCAGGCGGCGAACCCGCCGACGGCCACCTGGGGCGCTGCGGAGACGGCCGACCGCGGCGCAGGGGCGCCAACCCGGGACGCCGAGTCGCCGCCCCTGCCCCGACGCTGTAGTCCCCGCCGTCTCGGGCTGGATCGGACGTTTCTGCCGCGGCTTTTCTGTGGTGCGCCCTGGCGCCCTTCTCGCTTCCCTGTCAGTTCGAGCGCGCTCGTGCACGCACGTCCAGCTCGCTCGGCGCCGTGGCTAACACTTCGCGCGCTCCTGCGAAGAGCGCCATGCCGCACAGCAAAGCTGCGGCCCAACCTGTCCCGGCGGAGCCTCCTGCCCAGGCCACCCGCACTCCGCCACGAGCTTCCCACCTCGCGCGCGGAAGTGCGTAGCGTAAGAGAGGCGCCTCCCCCAGCTCCTGGGAGGCCGACCGCCCCGCGGTTCACCTCAAAGAAAATCCTTCAGAGCAACCCCGGGAAAGAGGTGCTGCCGAGGACTGTCAACGTTGTACAGATGAGACACTGAGGCTCGAGGAAAGCGCAGATGCAGGCCCAGTGCCTTGCCTGGTCTGCAGCAGCACTGAGAGTGCACTTTTGACTACGTTTTGTGGCTTCTGTGACAACTATGTCCGTAGTTATTCTTTTCAAACTTTATTTCACGCGCATTCAGAATAAACGATGCATGCGTATAGGACGTACTTGGAACCCCGGAGACGTCCTACTGTATGTACTCTCACTTTTATCTTTTAAACAAAAAGAAAAATGAATATGACATATAGTATTTGAGACATGGTTCCTCAGGCAATCAGAGGAGCTGCTAGGTATTAATAAAGAATAGCATTTGGGGCCACTGCAGTGCCTGTAATCCCAGCACTTCGTGATTTTACTTGCTTTAGGTAAGGAGTTCGAGACCAGCCTGAGCGACATAGAGAGAGCTGGTCTCTGCAAAAAATTAAAATTTAAAAAATGATTACCCAGACGTGGTGGTGCACAACTGTGGTCCCAGCTACTGGAGAAGCTGAGATGGGATGATCCCTTGAGCCCAGGAGATTGAGGCTGCAGTGAGCTTTGCACCACACTCCAGCCTGGGTGACTAAGCAAATTAGTACTTTCGAAAATACTGTTTCTTTTCTTCTTCTTCTTTTTTTTTTTTAACTAGTTCTTTAGAAAAATATCCAGTATTTTGGAAATTACTAATTTATGCTTCAGATAGCTATCTGCGCATGTCCCATTGTCACAGGTAATGGTCCCTTTAGGTATCTTATTAACGAAAGAAGAGAAAAAGAGGATTCAACTGTCTTGTCACAACTACAACATAAGAGAATAATTATTTAGATGGCGTGAGTGTGAGTTGGAGCTGCCAGGAAACTCTTCAAGGAGGAAGTGGTGTTCCATCTGAACCCTGAAGAATGGGTACGATGTGGACACTGAAAGGAAAGGGAAGAATATAAGCAAAGCCCAATATGTTCCTAGACATAGGAAAGATCACCTGTGCCCCCAGCAAAGAACCAACGGTAAGCAATGGAGAGAAAACTTTGGAACTAAAGTAGGGAAGGCCTTGAATGTGTAATGCAGAAATTAGGCTGAGCTAAGTAACAAGTTCTGTTATTACAACACTGGAAAAATTAATCTTAGAAGACTAATTTATGGAAAGAGTGTCCAGAATGACTAAAAGGATCTATCTAGAAAAGATTAGCTAAAAGTTGCTGAAATGCTCTAATAATGGAGGAAAGAAAAGTCTAGTTATTGGCAGTATGAATGGAGAAGAAATCTAAAAATATTTAATTTTTGAACGAAGATATATCAGAATTTAAATGATTAACTTAAAAATTTTCAGCCAGGCTCCATGGCTCACACCCATAATCCCAGCATTTTGGGAGGCAGAGGCATGGGGATCACTTGAGCCCAGGAGTAGACCAGCCTAGGCAACAGAGGAAGACCCTGTCTCTACAAATAATTTTAAAAATTAGCCGAGTGTGGTGGTGCACACCTGTAGTCCCAGCTACTCACGGGAGTCAAAGGCAGGAGGAACACCTGAGCCCTCGAGGTCAAGGCTGCCATGAGCCATGATCATGCACTACAGCCTGGGCAACAGAGCAACAGCCTGCCTCAAAACAAACAGACAAACAAAACCCTTACCTGCAAAGAGGACTTGGAAGCTAGGAAAATGGTGATGCTATTAACAAAAAAATGGAAAAGTTGACAAAAAGGACTATACCAGGTTTTTAAGATAGATAAATAGATAGTTTTGTTTTGTTTTGTTTTGTTTTGAAACAGAGTCTCACCCTGTGGCCAGGCAGGAGTGCAGTGGCACGATCTTGGATCACTGCAACCTCCACCTCCCAGGTTCAAGAGATTTTCCTGTCTCAGCCTCCTGAGTAGCTGGGACTACAGGTGCGTGCCACCTTGCCCAACTAATTTTTATATTTTTAGTAGAGATGGGGTTTCACCATTTTGGCCAGGATGGTCTGAATCTCTTGAGCTTGTGATCTGCCCACCTTGGCCTCCCAAAGTGCTGGGATTACAGTGAGCTGCCCACCTTGGCCTCCCAAAGTGCTGGGATTACAGGTGTGAGCCACCATACCTGGCCAGATATATTATTTTTTATCCTTCACTCTCTGCATGTACCATTCTCTTCCTGCCTACAAGATTAATGATTAGTGTGTTTTAAAGAAACCTATCTTGAATTAATTGTTTTAATTTTCCAGGGAAAAAAATAAAATAAAATAAAATAAAGAAACCTATCAAAAGAATGCTGTGACACTTACTGCACTTTTTAAAGATTTTATTATCATTTTTATTTTTATTTAGAGGCAGAGTCTTGCTCTGTAGCTCAGGCTGGAGTGCAGCAGTGTGATCCTAGCTGACTGCAGCTTTCAACTCCTGGGCTCAAGGTGATTCTCCTGCCTCAGCCTCCAGAGTAGCTGGGACTAGAGGCACATGCCACTACACTGGGCTATTTTAATTTTTTTTATAGAGACAGGATCTAACTGTGTTGCCCAGGCTGGTCTCCAACGCCTGGGCTGAGGCGATGCTCCAGCCTTGGCCACCCAAAGTGCTGGGATTATAGGCATGAGCCACAATGCCTGGCCCATATTATTATTTTAAACTCAAGCGGAAAAAAAGAATTCAAACATGAGATCCCAGAACAAGAGCATTAAAAGAAAGAATTGAAGTCATGAAGAAAACAAAACATCCAGATGAAGGCAACTGAGCAGACTTTAATACTTATCCCAAGAAACCAGGAACTGTTTACATGCTGATATTTCCCATTGCTGCCAAAATCCAGGAATCATAGACCATCAAGAACTGCTTTGTGCTAGACACAGTGTAAGGGTTAGTAAGTCATAGAACTCATCCTCAATAAAGGTAGATGTAAACAGACTCCTCTGTGTCTCCTCTATCATAGCATTTATTATGTGATATTGTCAGGTACATGGGGGGAGCATTGAGGTGGGTGATAGCATCTTGGAAAGCTTCAGAAATGATGTGTGGATTAAATCTCAGATGTTGAGTCAGAGCTGTCCAGATAATTAGGAGAAGCATAGGGACAGCCACGGAGGTATGAAGAGGGTCCCTCTTGGCAGAATGAAGCAACAGGCTGCCTTTTGGCTGAGGCTCCACTTTGACAAAGAAACTTCGATGTGTACACAGTCACTGGGATCAACTCACAGGACTATAATAAAAAGGAGGATATTCATCATACAAATCTAAACTCATTTCATCAACTGGTATGTACTATGAATTAACTTTCTAAAGTTAATCTTATGAATAGCACAATGATAGAGCATTGTGTTTTTTGTGTATCAAAGGCATAATTGACAGATGTAAACTTATAAAATATGCTACAGAAAATGTCTGTTTGGCCATGTCTTCAAGTTTGAACTACAAATGTTAAGTGTCCCTGGCTTTCCTCAACTTCTGAGAAGTTCTGGGTATGAAAGAATGTGGTCTGCAATTTGGAAGAGTGGGAAATGAAATTTGATTGGAACCTAGAGTGATGTTGGCTGGAAGAGATAATTGAGGTTAATTGGAGCCAATTTGCTAAGAGTCTTGAATGCCCTAATGAGTTTGAACTTTGTTCTTTGGGCAAGGGGAGCGCCTTTGGATAGTTAATACAAGAAAGTACTAAGATGCCATGTAGGTTTTAGAATCATTAGCCATTTTAAAGTTAAAATTTGTTTCTGTTAAACTTCACAGTTAGCAATATATGTTATTTTATTTTATTTTTTGTTTTTTGGGTTTTTTTTTTTTTTTTGAGACAATCTCACTTTGTCATTCAGGCTGGAGTGCAGTGGCACAATCTCAGCTGCAACCTCTGCCTCCTGGGGTCAAGCGATTCTCCTACCTCAGCCTCCCGAGTAGCTGGGATTACAGGCCTGCACCACCATGCCTGGCTAATTTGGGTATTTTTAGTAGGGACAGGGTTTCATGAAGTTCCCCAAGTTGATCTCCAAGTCTTGGGCTCAAGGGATCCATCCACCTCAGCCTCCCAAAGTACTGAGATTACAAGCATGAACCACAGTGCCTGGCTGCAGTTAGCAAGATACTTTATATTATTATTTAATCCTTATACATTGGTTTATTATATATAAAATTTATTAACACTTAAAATAGGCATTTTCTTTGTGTTTATTTATTTATTTATTTGAGACAGAGTCTTACTCTGCCACCCAGCTGGAGTGCAGTGGCGCGATCTTGGCTCACTGCAGCCTCTACCTCCTGGATTCAAGCGATTCTGGTGCCTCGCAAGTAGCTGGGAGTACAGGTGTACACCACCATGCTGCACTAATTTTTGTATTTTTAGTAGAGATGGGGTTTCTCCATGTTGGCCAGACTGGTCTCGAACTCTTGGCCTCAAGTGATCCTCCCCTTCAGCCTCCTAAAGTGCAGGGATTACAGGCATGAACCACTGTACCCAGCCAGGAAACTGTGGTTTGGAGAGGTTAGATAACTTTCCCAAATTCACCTACCTAATAAGATGGGAAACTGGATTTCAAACATTGATCTGCCAACTCTCATGTGTATACTTAGTCATACCATTTTGTAATCATTGGAGCTAGTAGATCAAAGTAGAATGCATTGCTTCATGAAGTAATTTCCTATCACTGGAAATATGACAGAAGAGACTGGATAACAAGTCAGGAATGGGTTAGGGACTGTGGCGTACACAGATCCTTGCATTTTGGGAGGCTGAGGTAGGAGGCTCACTTGAGCCCAGGAGTTAAATACCAGTCTGGGCAACGTAATGAGACCTCATCACCATAAAAAGTTGTTTTTTTTTTTTCCTTTGAGATGGAGTCTTGCTCTTGTTGCCCAGGCTGGAGTGCTGTGGCATGATCTTGGCTCACTGAAGCCTCTTTCTCCAAGATTCAAGAGATTCTCCTGCTTCAGCCTCCCAAGAAGCTGGGATTATAGTTGCCCGCCACCACACCTAGCTAATTTTTGTATTTTTAGTAGAGACCATGTTTCATCATGTTGGCCAGGCTCGTCTCAAACTCCTGACCTCGTGATTTGCCCACCTGGGCCTCCCAAAGTGCTGGGATTACAGGTGTGAGACACTGCACCTGGCCCTAAAAAGTTATTAAAACTTAGCCTGCAGTCCCAGCTAGTCCAGAGGCTGAGGTGGGAGGATCACTTCATCCTAAAAGACTGAAATTACAGTAAATAAAGATCATGCCACTCTACTCTAGCCTGGATGACAGAGTGAGATCCTGTCTCCCCTACCCCCTCTTTCTGTGTCTCTGTCCTTGTCTCTCTCTCTCTCTCTCTCTCTCTCTCTCTCTCTCTCTCTCTCTCTCTCAATTTCCCTCTCTTTCTCTCTCTCTCTCTCTCTCTCACACACACACACACACACACGTCAAGGATGGTGCATAATACTATGTGGGTACATAGTACTTTAGCCTGAGGAAAAGTAGAGTAGATTATCTTTAATGTTCCTTCAGATTTTAAGAGCCATAGAGTTGAAGACCTGAATTTGAGAATGAACTCTGTCTCTTACTAGTTGTGAGACTCTGAGGAAGACATCTAACTTTTCTGAGTTTTTCCTCGTATGTAAAATGAAGGTAATACCTGGCCAGGCTCAGTGGCTCACTCCTATAATCCCAACACTTTGGGAGACCAAGGCAGGTGGATTATGTGAAGTCAGGAGTTCAAGACCAGCCTGGGGAACATGGTGAAACCCTGTCTCTACAAAATATACAAAAATCGGCCGGGCGAGGTGGTGTGCAACTGTACTCCCAGATACTGGGGAGGTTGAGGCACAAGAATGGCTGGAACTTAGGAGGTAGAGGTTGAAGTGAGCCAAGATTGTGCCATTTCATTCCAGCATGGGTGACAGAGCAAGACTCTGTCTCAAAAACAAACAAACAAAAAACTCAAAAAACAAAAAACCCTTAGTTTTCTCATATATCAAATGGAATAGCTATATAGGTTGATGGATATTGTAAAAATTGAAGGAGATTATGTGTGCAAAGAAAGTCAGTAGTTCTCAAACTTAACTGAACATTAGATTCACCTGGAGAACTTTTTTAAAAATAGACTGGAATATTGTTGCTTCTAGGTTCTAAAATAGATTTCTTCCTGTTTTTCTTTCCTTTCCTCCCTTCCTTCCTTCCCGCCCTCCCTCCCTCCCTCCCTTCCTCTCTCTCTTTCTTTATTTTTTTTGACAAGGTCTCAATATTGAGACCAGGCTGGCCTGAAACCAACCTGAGTTCCCGACCAGGTCTCAAACTCCTGGACTCCAGTGATCTCACTGGAGTCTCCCAAATAGCTGCAACTGCAATCACATGCCACCTTTCCTTGCTGCTCATATATTTTTAGTGCTGAAAAATAATATTCCACTGTATGGATGTACCACAGTTTATCTATTTACCTATTGAAGGACGTCTTTTGTTGCTTCTGGGTTTTGGTAATTAATGAATAAAACAGCTATAAGCACACATATGCAGGCTTTTGTGGGGATATTAGTCTTTAGGTCTTTGAGCTAAATACCAAGCAGTATAATTGCAGATTGTAAGGTAAGAGTTCTTTTGTTTTGTTCTTTTTTTTGAGACAGAGTCTCACACTGTCCCCCTGGCTGGAATGCAGTGGCACAATCTCGGCTCACTGCAACCTCTGCCTCCCAAGTTCAAGCAATTCTCCTGCCTCAGCCTCCCGGAGTATTTTTAGTTTCATAAGAAACTCCTAAACTTTCTTGTAAAGTGGCTCTACCATTTTGCATTCTCACCATCAAGGAATGAGAGTTCTTGCTCTCTATTCTTGCCAGCATTTAGTGTTGTCAGTGTTTTGGATTTTTGCCATTCTAATAGGTGTTTAGTGATATCTCATTATTGTTTTAATTTGAAATTCCTTAATGATATATGATCTCAAGCATCTTTTCATATGCTTATTTGTAATTTGTATATCTTATTTGGTAAGGTGTCTGTTCAGATCTATTGCCCATTTTTAAAATCATGGCATTCATTTTCCTCTTGTAAGTTTTAAGAGTTCTTTGTAAGCCTGGGCAACACAGTAAGACTCCATCTCTACAAAAAAAATTTTTTTTTAATAAGCTGGGTGCAGTGGTGCACACTTGTGGTCCCAGATACTTGGGAAGCTGAAGTAGAAGGACATCTTGAATCCAGTGGCTCTGAGACTGTTAGCCATGATCACACCACTGTACTACAACTGAAGCAACAGAGCAACAACTTGTCTCAAAAAAAAAAAAAAAAGTTGTCTGATGATAACTTCTTTATCAGATAATGTCTTTTACAAATATCTTCTCCATCAGGGGAACTTTTTTGTTTTTGAGACCGAGTCTTGCTCTGTCACCCAGGATGGGGTGCAGTGGCGCAATCTCGGCTCACTGCAACTTCTGCCTCCTGGGGTCAAGCGATTCTCCTGCCTCAGCTTTCCAACTAGCTGGGACTATAGGCATGTGCCACCACGCCCCACTAATTTTTTGTATTTTTAGGAGAGATGGGGTTTCACTGTGTTAACCAGGATGGTCTGGATCTCCTGACCTTGTGATCCTCCTACCCTGGCCTCCCAAAGTACTGAGATTGCAGGCACCACCACCTCGCCCGGCCTGGGGGAACTTTTAAAATTCTGAATGTCCAGGACATACCTCAGGCCACTTCAATCAGGATCTCTGAAGATAGGATCCAGGCATCAGTATTTTTTTTTTTTTTTGAGACAGAGTCTCGCTCCATCACCCAGGCTGGAGTGCAGTGGCATGACCTCAATTCACTGCAACTTCTGCCTCCTGGGTACAAGCAATTCTCCTGTCTCAGCCTCCTGAGTAGCTGGGTCTACAGGTATGTACCACCACACCTAGCTAATTTTGTATTTTTAGTAGAGATGGGGTTTCACCATGTTGGCCAGGCTGGTCTTGAACTCCTGACCTCAAGATCCACCTGCCTCAGTCTTCCAAACTGCTGGGATTACAGATGTGAGCCACTGCACCCGGCCTTTTTTCTTCTTTCTTGAGGTGGAGTCTCACTGTCTTGCCCAGGCTGGAGTGCAGTGGTGCGATCTCAGCAAACTACAATCTCTGCCTCCCAGGTTCAAGCGATTCTCCTACCTCAGCCTCCTGAACAGCTGGGATAACAGGTGCCCACCACCAAGCCCAGCTAGTTTTTGTATTTTTAGTAGAGGTGGGGTTTCATTCTGTTGGCCAGGCTGGTCTCAAACTCCTGGCCTCAGGTGATGTGCCCATCTCTGCCTCCCAAAGTGCTGGGACTACAGGCGT